TGAGGAGCAGCAGTGTGTGTTGTTGCAAGCTTTAGTACGTTTAAAGTACCGTTTTTCTCAGTGTCTCTATGTGTGTGTTAGGAGCTGTCGGGTTAGAATAATAACCGAACTCCACTTTAGCGCGTTTACAACTGTAGAGACACAAAAAATTAGCTCAACTTAAACCTTGAGTACCAGACCTTGAAGTCTGGCAATTCAGAGCTAAAAGTGAAACATTTTGTAGTAAATTTGTTTCTAGTATCGTGTAGATTGTTGCCGAGTTAAAAAATTTGAACTATCGATGTAAATTGAAGTTTGTTATAAACTAAATATTCATTATATTTTATGAGAAACGTTGAAACCTCAAAAATGTTAGATTTTTAAATATAGTTTGGTTTTCTGGTCATTTGCTACTAGGTTATAAGCTCAAAAGGGTGAGAAAAACCACGTCTATAATCCCTTTTATTTTATGAATACACCTAGCAACACACATTTCTTTTTAACACTCGCGTTCAGTGTCTTTATTTTTATATTTTTCTTCATGCTGCGTCTTTGAATCCTAACAATGATCGCTGCATGTTTAAGTCTCTGGAAATGCTATGTTAATTATTATACAGGCTAGATGGTTGCCGAGTTAAAGAGTAGCTGCTACTCATGTGTGTATGCTCTAAAATAACACAATGACTCCTACCTGTATGTGATAAGGAGCAGTGAGATTTTAAATTCCTAATTTTTTGGACGACACAGCCGAGAAAACCGCTGGCATGTGCGTCCACCGTCCTTTTGGTGTAAACTGGTGTCATAAAGTGACTGATTTGGTGTTTTTGAGTTTTCTAAATGATCCTGAGTCAACCTCTGTGTTGTGTAGTGTGTTTCTAATGACTTACTGACGAGAAACACTCGACTTCCTTCCCCGAAAACAGGAGCTGCCACTGCGGTCTGAACCTCCTCCAGTGCGGTGATTATGCGGCCGGCTCTGCGTCTATAAAACGCGGCTTCAGCAGAGCTCAGCCCAGGCTTTTGGGGGCGCATTCCTCGGAGGTGAGTGATTAGAAAACATTTTTGATATAAAATGAAATTAGACCATGTGTTCACTGGCATTCACTTTCAGAAACAGCAGCTCCTGCTTGCTTTGACCGACAAATATGGCTACGAGTCCTGTGATAATAGGTGCTTTTATTGTGAAAGAAAATACTTTGCTGTTGTTTTAATTACTGTTTTTAGTGCAACCCTTTTTATAATATCAAAGCAACATTCTGTTGTAAGAGTTGGAATACTAATAATATTAATAATAATAATAACAATAATGCTAATAATAATAATGATAATACAACATCTTCACCCTGCCTTTAAGTAGCTCTTTCGTCCTGTTTTCCCTGATGGAGGGAAGCGGAGCTCCTGCTGAGGACATCCTCCTCCGGCGTCCCTGGCTTCCCGTGAGCATCAGTGGGTGCCAGCTCCTGGCCAAGAGCTGTTTCGGTGAGACGGCGTACCATATCCTGCTCACTGACATGCACTGTGTGTGGGAGGAGAGGATGGACACAGCAGACATCCAGAGCAGAGCACAGGTATGCACAAATGTGAACAGATAACCTGCGAGGCCTTGTGGAATTTACTTAGCAGGAAGTCTTTAAATGGAAAAGGAAATCTTACTGTTCTTAAATGCCAGATGAGCAAAAACCCGTGTTTGATGAATACATTCTTGTTCTCCATCATCAGGAGCTTAACAGGCGTTTGCGAGCCCCAGTCAAAGCCTTCTTCACTCACCTTTGTGAGGTGGTTAAGCCCTGCCTGGCGGGAGTCGGCAGCCAGACTGAAAACGAGGTTCAGATCTCTCTGACGAGACAGGAGGACGGTAGCATCAACATGAGGCTGAAGAGCGAGCTGGCAGGGCTCCCTTTCCACTGGGAGTTTCACTGCACCCCTGCCCCAGTAGCTTTGGTACGTCCTTGCCTTTCAGATTTCTTTTTTAAACCCTAATCGTGGTGGCCGGGCTGTCTGACTGTTTTGTGTGTTTCTTTCAGGTGTGCATTCAGCTGGTGCGCCCCCTGCTGACGATGAGCCGCCTGCTGCAGCGGCGGGTGGAGCAGCTGGGAGGTCTGCTGGTGAGGAAGGACACTGAGATCCAGGACTACAGAGAGAATGGAGCCACGCTCAGCAGAGGTACAGAGGCTGTTTGTAAGGTCGCAGCATTTCCAGCAGCACTTCCTGGTCTGCTGTAATGGGACTGTGATATGCACCTGGTGAAAGCTGGAGGAATCCACCATCACATTACCCACTGGTTTTTGGGCTGGTGTGTTGAAGTCGGTAGCAAACATATTGGTTAGCAAGCTGTGCTGTAATTAATCTAACAACATCTAAGCAAAATGCAGAAACAGTGTGTGGACAAACTAAATACGCAGATGGGGGCAGTGTCTAAATTATGGGGTACAGCCAGTGTGTGGGCCTCACTTGTACTGTGATGGCCCAAGAGCTGAAGTGAAACAGAATGTTAAAAAAGAATGAAAGGTGTCCACTGCAGTTCATTCATTTGATTCATTGCTCATTAGCGAGTGTGAGCACCTCTAAAGAAGAAGTTCAGGTGTGTGTTAACATGATTCAGAGTTGTAAAGACTTCAGCAATAGCAGGAACAGTAAGGAACAGCAAGAAAAAGATAATCCAGAAGTGGAAAACATTCCCTCCAAGGTAAGACTGTGCAATGCTCAGTGAAAGTGTAAAAAACAAAACAAAACCCAAGAGCTCCATCTCAGATGGTACTGTTGGCACGGTGGAGTAGGGGGTCATGATTTGGGCTTGTTTTGCAGCCGAAGGACCTGGGCAGCTTCAACCATCTCCTCTGTATACCAAAGTATTTTGGAGTCAGGTGTTAGGCCATCTGTCTGGCAGCTAAAACTTGGCTCCAACTGGGTCATTTAACAGGACAATGATCCACAGCACAGCAGCAAATCTGTAACAGAATGGTCCAGTGCTGAGGTGGGGGCCGCTGTAAATTAGAGTTGAGCAAAATTCCTCCGTAATGATGTAAGAGACCGATTAGGTCTTAAACTAAATGATGCCTTTTTTATTCACTGTGTCTGCATTTTGTTAGTTTTTTCTACTGAATAAAGAATGAGTTAGTGTGATGGTTTGTGTGTTGTCGTCCATCAGAGCTTGTATTTATCTCATTTTAAGATCTGCTATGGACAGGTCTTAAAACAAAGGCACATTAATTCATATTTAAATTTGGTGTACAGTGCAGTTTTGTGTTTTCTGAAGTCTAGTTTTTGTTTTTAGTTAAATTAAATGTTTTTTTTTTTTTAAATTTCAGTTTTAGATTTATTTTAGCTTTAGTTCACCATGATAAGCTCAGTCTGTACCTTACACCAGTTGTCAGATAAATGCGTTAATCTACTCTACAAGGGACTGGCAACACAAACGCTGATGATCACAATCAGCCTCCACAACTTTGAACCTTAATATAATTTAATCATCTGAGTTATAAAAAAACAAAATCACCTTTGCACAGCTATCATGAACTGGAAAACTGTTCATAGAGAACAAAATGTATTTTTGCAGTTTTCAAACTCTGTCCGCTCTTTGGCTACTCAGGTTAAACATGATACATAAGTCACCTAGATACCTTCAAAAAGTTATTGTATGTTATTTTTATTTGTTCCTAAGTAAATCAGTTTGGCTGAGATAAGTTATAGTTTTCACACAGCTGAATAAACATCAAACAGAAAACTGATTAAACAGAAGTGTGAGATGGTAGAAAATTTACTCCAATGTCCTGTTGTATTTTACGGAGCAAGGAGTAGACAGCTGAGTTTATTAAACTCCATTGAGACAGCTGGTGAGGCAAATCTGAAGGCTAGACCGTCCCATTTCACAGCCTCGCACTTCCGGCCTTCTCAGTTTTCGGAGGATCCGGCCTTCGCGGTGTACGTGAGCCGAAGGATGCAGCCCCTGAATTGAGATACAATTCAGGGGCTGCATCCTGTAGTGGACATTAGCGGAAATGCAGTTTTGTATGAAACTCTGTATGAAACCTCCGCATAGGTTGCTAACTGTTTAGCAGTGCTTTAACTGCTTTTGTGACCCCTTTTGTGACCCCTCAGTCTGATCACTGTGGAGTGTCATGATATCATGATTATAATCCAGATGTGTCTTTTTGAACCCAGAACGGCTGCAGACAGATGTTTTTGAGGAGCACACCCACAGAGAAGACTTCATTGCAAAGGTGAGAGCACACGCGCACACACACACACACACACACACACACACCCCTATGGAAAAGAAATCGTAAAAACTTATATGATTTACTCATGAAAGTGGCCACTTTCTCATTACTTTCATATATTCTTTTATTAAGTATCCAAAACATACAAGTTTCATTTATATAATTTTTCAAGGGATCTTATATCTGTTTTCACTCTTATATGCTTTTCATACAAGTTTCACACAAGACGGATACAAACTTTATAAGATTTATATATATCTTTTTCATATGGGACGGACACACACACACAGCCTAAAGTTTGAGCTCCGTTCCTCGTCATTAACCTGCTGTGGTGAGCTTCCTTGTGATAAACCACTGTGGTCGCTGGAACTTGAGCCGCGTGACGTGCTCAATAATCGCTGTGTGCCACTTCCTGCCAATCAGGATGAGGTGAGGTTAAGTTTCCGTGCGTCCGTGCGTGTGTACACTGTATTCAGGTGTGGAATTTCTCATCTCTTACTATGCTGACCCCTGACCTCCACTCTGTGTGTGTGGTCGGGGTTTTCAGATGCACCTGTTGAATTTTTCAGGACGGATACGACTGGTTATTTTTATATTTTTATTATGTTAACACTTCAGTGTGTTTTTCACACAGTTTCCATTTGAGTTTTGATACCCACATCCCTGCTGCCTTGACATTTGTCCACCTTCAAATACACTAGTCATACTGTATGTGGTAAAAAGGAAGAAAGGAAATCAATAAATATTTAATTTTAAGGGACAGACTGAACCATTAGGTGGCATACAGCTGGTTTTGTTACTTTTTTTGGATCCAAATGTTTCAACCTTTGGATGTCTCAGACATTTAAATGTCTTCTGTGTTACAAACAGAGCAGTACTCAGACATGAATGAATGTATTATTCCAGTTCATTGTTTGTCAATTATTCAACCAAAAAACAACAAAAAAAGTGTCTGTCTGTCCTTTCTTCCTTCACGGGAACTAGAGTTGATCAAAATATCTATATATTGTTATATGATTGATACAGATGTATTAAAATGTGTTCAGAATTTGCAAATCACTGATGATTCATCTCATAAGACATGACCCGCTGTTCTCCTCTACATAAAGTGATTTTATAGGTTAAAAGTATTTGAAAAAATCAGCCCTGTGTTTACTTGATGTTGGATCACCACTAAAGTTTGCAGTGGACTTGGTCATATTTACAGAGGTACCTACAAAGAATAGAGTTTCACATGTGGGTTTTTACAGGTTTCAGTCGTGGTAAAAAGGATGTTGCAGCATCATGACTCACTTCACTGCATCCTCTGATTTGATTTACAGTAGCAGCAGTGTTGTTGGCCATTACAACTAACTGCTTCTTATGCACACGGATGTTTCTGTTGCACCTTAACTTAATATCTGATGCCTACTTATCATCTGAAAACGAGCACCATCGAAATCCATGTGTCCCGTTGTAAATCCTTAAGACCAATCAATGTCCATTAGCTGGATTATCAGTGTTTTATGGGCTGACTGCGGTGTGCAAGGAGATGTCCTTGGATGACTTTAGCGATAAGTGGACTTTTTTTTTTCTCTCTCTGAGCTAATGTTAGCTGGTGTATCTTAAGTAAGTACACCATGATTCAGAAGCTTGTAGTGGAGGGATTTTGACCTACTCTTCTTTATAGCGTTGCTTGAGTTCATTGAGGTTCATGCACTGCTCTTTTAAGGTCCCAACACAGCTTTTCAGTCAGGTTGAGGTCCGGACTTTGACTGGATCATTGCAGCACCTTGATTCTCTTATGTTCAGTCATTTTGTTGTAGATTTGACACTGTGGTTCAGATCATTGTCCTGTTTCATGACCCAGATGTCCTCACATTTGACTCTAAAATACTTTGGTATACAGAGGAATTTATGGTCAACTCAATGACTGCAAGGTGCCCAAATCATCACCCCAGTACTGATATGCTGTGTTTGGTCTTGTGCGTTGTGGCCAAACATCTCCACTTTGTTACCTTTTAGAACATCTTCCAAAGAAACTCTAAGTATATTAAATTAAAACTTCCGCTTGCAGCTTTTCAGGCAGTATTTTGTGCATTTTACCTTTTACTTAAACTTCTTCTATGTATGTATTTATTTAATTCTATTTTTTTGGACCTTCATCCCTTGTGCGTATGCATGGTCTGTGGAAGTTTTTACATTTGTTCAAACAAACTGTGGTAAGAAAATACAGATGAGTCACAGATTTGGTCGAACGTTCATACGCGCGGTCTATCTGTGAATAAGATCTACTGTCTCCAGAGGTGTTAAAAGATGCCTTCTTGTACGTTGTGGGGTTTTTATAGCTCTTAGGGAAATTTCCCGTCTCAGGTGAGCGTGCGGGGAAGATGCTGCAGGGCTTGCTTGTGTGTCATCAGGTGGTTTTCGGGGAGGGAAGCAGCCTATTTGTTGATGCTGTTTGTGTAAAAGGACAAACCAGGAAAGAATCACAGTTTCATTCAGTGGAAAAGCTCCAGGTCAGGTACGATTATGACTCATGGAAAGTTACATCAGGGTCACAGTGGAAGCTCTATTTTCTGCTTTTTTTTTTTAAAAATATTTTTTTCTGGGCAATCAGTGTTGAGCCAGGCTGGGTGAAGTGGACAGTCAGAAACCACAGAAGAAGAAGAAAAGTGCTGCAGTAGATCAAAGTCTTCTTCTCTCATGGCAAATTACACCGGGCTGCGACCAGGCCGCCCTCAGACCAAAGTCCAAACTGAAATAAAATGTGTCTGGGAAAAATGTTGCCGCGATGCGTCAAGCAGAGAATCACACACGCGATGGATAGACTGCTATTTGTGTGTGTGTGTTTAGCATGTGTGTGTAGTATTTATCTATCAGGGTCAGGCTTTTGCATACCTGTACGCGTGCATGTCTGTGAATGTGCCATCCCTGTGTTGTGTTTGTGTCGGCATCTCTATCACCATGAGAACGTCCACGGCAGCCCATCATACTTATATTTCGTTTCTTTTTTACTCTCCTGACGTCATGGCGTCAGCAATCTTCTGTAGCTCTCTGCCAGATAATGAATGAGCCCGTTTCCAAAAATGTCACAGACGGATCAGAGCTGCAGGTACAACACACAGTCTGTATTTGTGCCTTGTTGCTGTTTTAAAAAAAACAACAAAACAACCCGGCTTCAGTTTCAGCTTCAGCTTTTCTTCCTTGAACTTGAACTTCTTTGACATTTACACAGTTATTTACGTGCACAGTGTCAACACAGAGC